CTTCCTCTCTGTCTCTCCTCTCTGTATATCCGCCTTTCCAATAAAAATTAAAAAAATAAATCTTAAAAAAACAAAAAATACCCTTAGCCTACATGCACAAAACTCTCCTCACGGTGATTCTGCAAAAGGCTTGGCAGTTTGCTCAACACGTGCCACTTAAAGCGTTCTTAAGAAAATGCCCACTTAAACTATATCAGCCAAACTTCACATTTTTTACCTCACTAATCAGCATGCCCTAATTAATGTAAATTTCATGCTTATATATACCAAAAATACAACTACCATACATCTGATGATCCACAACATGATAAGCTTATCTTAAAACCACTCCAAAAAAAACAAAACACACCACTCCACGCACTCCCCCCAACTCCCCCCACAATTTCAGCATCCACACCATGCATTCCTCCCCCAAACTCCAGCGTCCACTCCACGCATAGCCCCCAAACTCCAGCGTCCATGCCACATGCTCCTCCCGCAAACTCCAGCGTCCACTCCACACACTCCCCACAAACTCCAGTGTTCAACCCTACCTTTCAGAGCACTCCTGTACCAATCTCATCTTCCCCTGGCCCTCTTAAGCCAGACCTTCCCTTACCACCACCACAGTCTCTTTTTCACTGAAAAGATTTCTGGAGAGAAACAGAGACAAGATCTTCCATCTGCTGGTTCACTCCCCAAGTGGCTGCAACAGGCTGGAGCTGAGCTGATCCAAAGCCAGGAGTCAGGGGCTTCCTCCAGGTTTCCCATGCTGGTGCAAGGTCCCAAGGCTTTGGGCCGTCCTCCACTGCTTTCCCAGGCCGCAGGCAGGGAGCTGGATGGGAAGTGGAGCTGCTGGGACATCACTGGCACCCGTGACCCAACTGGCACCCCTATGGGATCCCGGCACTTGTAGGTGGAGGATCAGCCAAGCCTCAGACTATCTTCCAAGTAGCTTCTATTAGTGACAGAATACAGTTTGCCTCCAGGGATCAAAAATGTCTGAGGCCTGCCTTCACTGCAACTAGTTTAACATACGAGATCATCTCAACTAAACTGTTTCTCCATAAAGTTTGATGTCACATATTCACATTTTAAAATATTTTAAGCACAAAGGCCATATAAGGAAGACTTTTCTAAATTTCAGTCACTAAACTACTTGAAAACACATTAGCCTAATTTTGAACTGTACTTTAGGGAAAAAACATATTTCCCCAAGATATAATACTTTTCAAAAACTTATTTTCCAAGTTTTATCCCTATTAAAATAACTCCAAGCAAAGAATTCTTACTGCTCTAGGATTAAGTTTATAAAGCTCAGTGTGGCTGTAGTCTTCTAGAGGCAGAGTCATTTACTTCACCGTCTTTTACTATTTCTTTCCTAGCCTGTCCACCTTAGAATAGGAACACCAACTGAAAACCCAGTCAAGTGGACAATCCACACCTGGCTTCACCAGGAACTATATGGAATAGAACACGCATAAATTAACATGTACCCAACACTGAACTTGGGCTAAACAAAAATTTTGTTAAAATTTTTTGTATTAGAAATACAGTAATACAGAGAGGAGAGTCAGAGAGCAAGATCTTCCATGTGATGGCTCAGCCCCATCCACTCCGCCAAGCAGCCCCAATGGCTAGAGCTACACCAACCCAAAGCCAGGAGCCAGGAGCTTCTTCCGGGTCTCCCACACAGGTGCAGGGTCCCAAGGCTTTGGGCATCCTCAATTGCTTTCCTGGGCTACAAGCAGGGAGCTGGATGGGAAGCAGGGACACCAGGTCACAAACCAGCACCCATATGGGATCCTGGCGTGTGTAAGGCAAAGACTTCAGCCACTAGGCTACCATGCCAAGTCCAAAATGTTTCTTAAATCTTAATAGGTGTCTGCTTTATGAAGAATTCGAGAAAAATTGTACTTGGCTAAATTTAGGCTGAAAACATTGGCTTTAGATCTCAGGTAAAACATGAAAAAGAAAAAAGAAAAAAAAAAGTAAGTATAGGTTCAAAAAAATAAGGGGCAGGGGAGGCACATTAGCCTTGTGGCTAAAGGTCTCCCCTTACAAGCACCAGGATTCCATGTGGGCTCCAGTTCACGTCCTAGCTGCTCCACTGTCCATCCAGTTCCCAGCATGTGGCCTGAGAAGACCACAGGGGACACCCCCAGGGACTTGGGGCCCTGCACTCACATGGGAGACCCAGAAGCAGCTCCTGGCTCCTGGCTTGGATCAGCTCAGCTCTGGCCATTGTGGCCCACTTGGGGGGTGAACCAGCAGATGGAGGATCCTTCTCTGTATCTCCTTCTCTCTGCGATTCTAACAGAAATAAATCTTAAAAAAAAAAGTATTTATATATGTATGATTGATTTTCCCAAGAGTATTTCAATGTGTAGTAGCAAGCATCATCTACCGCGAACCTGAGCCCGTTTCCCGCACTGCTCACAGGCCCAGCAAGGGTCACCCAGCTCTAGAGGCTAGACTCCTGTGAAGCCCAACAGCCTCCAGCTCTCACCCTCCAACTCTCAGCAGCCCTGAGTGAATGAATAGGCCTGCTTCAACACAACCCACTGCGCCTGTCCACCTGAGACAAGTTTAATGGATATATTAACTTCCTGTTGGCCCCAAGCAGGGCTGAAGAGTGAATCCAAAGGCTGATAATGCAATCCCTCCAGACACCAAAACACAAGCCTTCCAAAACTCATGAAATGCCTTCCATCAAGAACCAACAGACAGCGTCACACTCCCACCATTCACTAAAGGCCTCACTGCAGATGCATATAAAAGATGTAAAGTTTATTCTCGGACCACAAAGATCTTAAATAGCCCTGAACAGAGTCCCTCGTTTGTCGTTATTTCACATTAACCACTTTCTGATGACAGTCCAGGTCTGGACGAACTGACAGTGCCCAGAAAGGGAAAATCCGGGTCCTGCAATTAGAGGAAACGGGCTTCAGCGCCCTGACAAAGTCAAGATCTCAATCTATCACGGCTTAATGAAGCAAAGACCCTTCAATGTCGGGTTCCATTGGGATACATACTGCTGGACGAAAACTTGAAGTCCTCCTTGAATCCCTACTCCAACTCTCCATCTCTAACTTCAAGGGCTACATTCCCTTAAAACAAGGTGAGAATAAGCAATGCTTCTGCTAAAGCAAAGCGTGACAACTACTCAGAAAAAAAAAACAGCCCCGCTCCTCCTCCTCCCAATACACAGGGATGAAAACAAAGAACTTCACCCAAGAGTGAGTCAAAGTATTAGTGGGCAGTTCTACCCACTGGGTCACGGGCCTGTTGAAAGCCACGGGGTCTAACTCCTGCAGAAATATAAAAGTCCCCAGACACAAAGTCCTGTGCCTGACTAAGGATGTAAGTCCAAAGAAAAACAGAGAAGATTCGTACACCCTTCCTGCACTGGGGGGTCACACCAGCTTGTGTGCGCAGACACAAGCTATCCTCCTGGGGTGAGCTGTGAAACACAGGCCCAGGAGGCAGAACCCCACCAAAAACACGCCACACGCCCTAGGCTCCCCGCCCTACTCTCCCCCACGCGAGGAACAACCCAAGAACTTACTGCTCAAGGCCAAAGGCAAAGAAACTGCCAGGTAGCGCTGAGAGGAAAAAGGTGCAGCTGTCCCTACCCCGGGACTAACGCTGTACCCCGCCTCCCGAGGAACCCGACCGGCTGCCACGTCCCCTCACAGCACCTTAGCTCCGATGGGTGCCCTCCACACGCGGCCTCCAAGCAATAAAGAAAATGCACATTTGCACTCCGACAACACACAGAACTAGGCCCGAAGGACAGGAGCTCTCAGGTAAAGCAGTTAATATCTTCTCATCTAATCCTTAAGAAGCCAGACCGAACAGGAAACAGCTCCTCCAGCTGGCTGGAGCAGACATCGCCTGAAACCCTGAAAATGTTGACATTTTTAAAACAACTTTTAAGTTCTTGTGGACACAGGTAGATGCACGGCAGAAACTTTGGGACCAGCAGCAACGACACAACAGGTGAGCGAGGCCATGGGCAGCCCTGCACAGCTGAGGCGCACAGCTTGCAAGGGCAACCCCCATGGTGCCCCCTCCCCAGGACGGGGACCCAAGGGAACACGCACAAGGCCATCCCGGAGCCCCTGGCTCCCTATGGGCAAGGGTTCGGTTCCCTTAGAGGGGCGTGCCACTCCTCTCCCCCAAACCCTAGCGACGATCACCACCACCACAGGTAAAGAAGAACCGAGCCCCCTCCACTGGGCACAGCACAGCTGAGGGGGTGGGGGAACACAATGTCGCTCCTTATTTCTGCGTACAAAAGGACTTTGCGCCCTCCTCCTCAAACTGCCGCCTCCTAACTTGCAAGAAGGTGGGCAACGCGCCATGTTCCGGCGTCCCCCTCGCCGCCCCCGGTCTACCTGGGTAACAAGCCCACGCCACCCCAGCGGGAGGAAAGCTCCGGAGGTGGCCCCCAAGAGCCAGCCTCTTCTCCCGCCGGAGACGGCGGCTCCCGCGCCCGCCCCGACCGCGCCGCGCCGTACGGCCGGAGGACGAAGCCCGGGAAAAGGCCGAGGGAGCGAGCAGAGAGCCGCCGCTCCGGTCCCGCGCCGCCCGCCCACCTCCCGCTCCCGAGCCCGAGCCCGGAGCGCCGTCCCGGGCCTCCCGCTCCCGAGCCCGCGGGGAAAGGCCGGGCCCCAGGTTCCACGGCGGGGAAGAGGGCCGCGGCCGGCCCGGAGCGCTGCAGGCGGCGGGGGAGGCCGGAACCCCGGCCGGGGCTCTCGGGAGGGCAGGCGCCTCCCTCCCGAGCCCGCCAGGACGCCTGGGGCCTAGTGCGGCCTGCGCATCCTCGGGGTGGCGGTTTGACTGGGCCGGGCCGGGGCCCCTCGCCAGACGCGGGCCGAATCCGGCGGGGGCCCGGGCCCGAAGCCGGGGGCGGCAGGGTGCCGGCTGCGGGGCGGGCCGGCCGGCCGGCGGGCGGGCGGCGTGTTGCGGCTGCGCCGGGGCTGAAATAGCTGGAGATTGCGCGGTAGGGCACTCACCTCAGAGCGGCTGCGCTACCGTGGGCCTGCGCCGTGGAGACTGCGACCGCGCCGGCTCCTCGCAGCCTCCTGCCACCAGCGGCAATGGCGAGCGCTGCCGCCTCTGCCGCCGCCGCCGGGGGGGGGAGCACGCACGCGACGCACGCCCGGCCTCCCCGCCCGCCGCCGCCATGATGGGGAGGTCGTGCGGCCGCGGCGGCGCCGGCGGGCCGGGAGGGTCTCGGGCTGGCGACCCCGGCCTTGGCCGCCGCCCCGCCGCGCTCGCGGGGGCTTGCAGAGCCTCGGCCGAGGGTCCGAGCCGGGAAGGCGACTGCAGCGGCGCCACGTCGATGCCCCGGAGGAGCGACGCGGGCCGCCCAAAATGGTTGCTGGTGTGGAGAAAGAGCAGAATTGTCGCCCCCCGGCCCGGGGAGTTAGGACCTCCCGAAGGTGCCCGGGCCGGGGGCCGGGGGCTCTGGCACATCTTTCTCGGCTCGGCTTAGTGGTGGCTTCCCCTTGGCTGCCATATCCCTGGATTCTCTGTTTCAGACCTCTGCCCGGGCACTTTAAAAGCAAAGTTTTTGCACAAAGCGAGGGACTGGTGTGTTGCTTCGTTTCGTCCTGCGAACGTTTTCTGGAGGGCTCTGTACTGTCAGATAGGCTTCTGAGAGCGCTGAAGATGCACCTGCTAGCAGGACAAAGCCCTTGCTGTCTTGCAGCTTGGGTGAAGCCGAGGGGATCCCCTAGTCAGGTGCCCGCGAAGTTGGGAGGGGTGGGCAGTGGGAAAGCCATCCAGTGTTGATGTTGGAGGGATGGTTTAGTGGTCTGTAAATTCTGACCTCAGATGGTAACTCTGGAATCTTAGCTCCCCAGCCTGGGAACCTGTGTTAACACTTGCACTCCCACCCCCTTCCTTTCTGCAGTTACCCACATGCAGGCCTGGGAGATCCGCAAAGTATTCCAAAACATGTCAGAAACAGCTCAACAAAAACATGAGCAGGCTATACTTTTTAGGAAGAATCCCTGAGTCTCCTAAGTCAAAATACCTACAAATAGAAGTTTCCAGTGTGCCCTGAAGGTAGGTGGCCCACCCACAAGGAGAATCCGGCCCGAAGTGGAACCACCCTCCCGCTCTCCCGCAGAGCCCACATCTGGTTAGACCTGGAAAGCTGTCCCTCCGGGTCATTGCTTAGCTTGGTTCAGACACCTGTCACCTCCCACAAACAGGCTCTTCTGGTCTCCCCACCACTAGAATTGTCAACTCCTGTCCATTCAAAAAACTAAATAAGATCTGGTATTTCCTTGTTTCTGATGCTCTGCGGGTTCGGTCTGAAATGTTCTGAGGGGGCTCCAGGGTCCCGAGCGACCTCACGCATGCAGGTCAGGGCCCACCGAGCTAGCACAGAAGGAACTGTGGGTTACGACCAGCATTTCACAGAAGGAAGGATCAGAGAATATCAGACCTAGGCATGGTGAAATTTTGTCAGATTCCTTGATATCATAAATTTCCCAAATCCTACAAACATTGAGGAGTCCAAGTGACAGACTGTCACCAGTATTAACACCAAAGTGTGGGACAGGATTTCCACCTCCTCTCCCAAGAAAACGGGTCGCTGTCCGAGGCTGCAGCTGGGCTTACCTTGGCAAGAGAGCATTCCTGGGTGAGCTGAGGCTGCCTGCTGGGACGGGCTCCTTCTGTCGCCACAGTGAGCAAGCCCGGTCCTTCACGGGCAGGGGCCATGTGCACCCTAGCCCGCAGCTTCTGTTCCCTGGGCACTACCTGGTCTTTGTGGCTCCGGAGCTGGGCAAGTAGAGGGCGTTCTAGGCCTCTCCGCCCAGATGCCCCGCCCTTGTCCTTAGGCCCAACTGCTCCCTCCCTTGAATGATAGATTTTTCCCTGTCTGCCACAACCTGAAGGCTTTGTAAGGACAGAAGAGCTACCTGCGTCTTATCAGCCTGCTTGGAAACGCCCTTGACTCAGTGGTCCATAGGCGTCCACAGGTAAACTGAGCAAGGCGCCGAGTTCAGTAAGGGGCCTGCCGGCTGAGCAGCCGCTTGGGAAACCCACCCTGGTGCAGAGCAGCCTCTGCTTCTGATCCTTTCTAGCGGTAATTAAGGTAAAATAGATGGCTAGGGTGGGGCCGAATCCAGTGTGACTTGCATGCCAATATAAAACGGGATTTGGAGAGAAATATCAAGGAAAAGACCTTAGAAGTAGCTCATTTTGCCTATGGCTTGAACTCAACTTCTAACCTCCAGAAATGGTAGAAAATACATTTGTGTGGTGCGAGCCACCCAGACCACGGGGCTTTTGTTAATGGCGGTCCTAGCGAACTAACACAGTTAACAAACTAACAAAAGCAAGGGCCGGACATGGAGCTCGTGGCTGCATCCTTGCCTTGCATGTTCTGCAATCACACGTGAGCACCAATTTGTTAATGGCTGCTCCACTTCCTGTCCAGCTTCCTGCTTGTGGCCTGGGAAGGCAGTACAGTATGGCCTGGGGCCTAGGGACCCTGTACTCTCCTGGGGTACCCAGAGGAGTTTCCTGACTCCTGGCTTCAGATCCCCTTGGCACTGGCTGTGGTGGCCACTTGGGAAGTGGAACAGCAAAAGATCTTTCTCTCTGTGTCTCCTTCTCTTTGTATGTCTGCCTTTGTAATAGAGGTGAATAAATCTTAAAAAAAAAAAAAATTTACTTATTTTATTGGAAAGGCATATATACAGAGAGGAGGAGAGACAGAGAGGAAGATCTTCTGTCCGATGATTCACTCCCCAAGTGACCACAATGGCCCGGTGCTGAGCCAATCCAGAGCCAGGAGCCAGGAACTTCCTCCACGTCTCCCACACGGATGCAGGGTCCCAAGGCTTTGGGCCGTCCTTGACTGCTTCCCCAGGCCACAAGCAGGGAGCTGAATGGGAAGTGGGGCCACCAGTATTAGAACCAGTCCCCATATGGGACCCTGGTGCATGCAAGGCGAGGACTTAAGCCACTAGGCTATTGCGCTGGGCTCTTACTCCAATTCTGATCCAGCATCCTGCCAATGGCCCAAGTGCCTGGGCCGCTGTCATCCACGTGGGAAGCCTGAATGGAGTTCTGGAATCCTGGCTTCAGTTTGGCCAAGCTCCGTCTGTGTGGCTATCTTGGCAATGAACCAACAGAGAAGACTTCTATTTCCTCACCCCTACTCTATAACTTGTGACTTTCAAATAAGTAAATAAATCTTTTAGAAAGAAACACTTCCTAGGCTGACTTAGAGAAAGAAAGCTGCAGACAGGCCCCTCGCCTTGAGTGCACTCAGATCCCATATGGGCACCCATTCTAATCCCGGCAGCTCCACTTCCCACCCAGCTCCCTGCTTGTGGCCTGGGAAGGCAGTCCAGGACGACCCAACCTTGGGACCTGCACCCGCGTGGGAGACCCAGAAAGGTAGAGTTGCAGACAAAGAGGTACAGGAAGATCATCTGTCTACTGGTTCACTTCCCAAGTGGCCACAGCGGACAGAGCTGAGCTGATCCAGAGCCAGGAGCTTCTGCTGAGTCTCCCACGTGGGTGCAGGGTTCCAAGGCCTCGCGCCGTCGTTGACTGCCTTCCCAGGCCACAGGCAGGGAGCTGGAACTGGCACCAATATGGGATCTCAGCATACACAAGGGGAGAATTTAGCCACTAGGCTATTGCGCTGGGCCCCTGGAAAATTATGAAGCAAGATAAGAACCTTTCAGAACTTCTTTTATGTCCGACATCATCAGAATTTCTCCTCCATGGCAATTCCTTGGTACTTGGATAGTTATTATTCAAAAATCTTCCCTGACAATTGTGTATGGAAATTTCAAGCACATTAAAATTGTTTGGAAAAAACAGGGCCTAGCACAATGGTTAGTGGTTAAAGTGCTCACCTTGCACGTGCTAGGATCCCATATGGGCGCCGGTTCTAATCCTGGCAGCCCCGCTTCCATCCAGCTCCCTGCTTGTGGCCTGGGAAAGCAGTGGAGGACGGCCCAGCTCTGGTCACTGCATCCATGTGGGGAGTGAACTAAAAGATAAACGATGTCTCTGTCTCTCCTTTCTGTAGCTCTCTCAAATAAATAAATAAATAAATGATTTTTAAAAAGTCAAAACCAAAGAAATAGAAAAAGATACTGCTTGAGCCACCTGCGCCGTCACAGCAGGCAGCCACCCTCTAGTCACACACGGAGTCCAGCATTTGACTCGCAGCTGGTCCAAGGCCAAGTTGAGACCCAGAGTCTGAATACAGTAAAAATATCTCATTAATAATTTTATGTAGAGGACACGCTGAAACCATAACAGTGCGGCTAGGTGAGGTAACAGAAAAAGCTGTTTCCAAGTTCTGTTGGTGGAAACAAGCTCAGGTTGCTCGTTAGGAGCTTGAAGGCATTTTCTTTGGAAAACAGCAAACAGATTCTGTTTTTAGTATGCTTCCGGTGACTGCACCTTCCTTGGCTAATTCTGTCCTAGAAAGGACACAGAGGGTCTCTTCCTGTGCGACTCTAACGCAGTCACTCAGCCTCGCTCCTCGTGTCCCAAGGCCTGTCCATCAATTCAACCTGTCCTAGAAGCACGGCCACTTCCTGGGAGTGAGATGATGGGAAGGTGTTTCAAAGAAGGCGGAGTGGAGCCTCTCTGAGGCTTGGAGAAAAGCGTTTGCGGGTGTCCACCCTGCGTCAGCTGTGATCACCGGGCAGGCGGCTCTTGTCCACTCACGGAGGGACCCTGTCTCCTCCAAACCTGCCCTGTACTGCATCTCAGGAGGCCTGCGCAAGCCCAGAGCTGCAGCTGGAAGGGGTCTGGCCTTTGCACGGTCGGGAGTGGTGGGAACCCTTTGTTGTTTTGGGAAGTTTGAAGTTGAAGGAGAGTGTGGCCTGGCTTCTTCCTGAAGGTTTCCACTGCACGTGGCGTTCCCTGCCCTCCTATAAACTGCAGAAGCCCTGGCTGAGCTGCCAAGTCCCGCCCCTGCTCTGGTGCAGGTTTCCTATAATCCGTGCGCTTGAGACCTGGGGGACTCTGCCCAGCACCGGCCAGGCCAGCCTGGAGCTTGTAAACTTGGCGATCGCACACATGTGAGCCTCTGG